AAAAGTCTTTCGGGAGACGCACCCGCGCAGCATCACCGCCAACTGTCGTCGACTATTGTCGACCTCCCTCGATAACCACCGACTACCATCGACCACCATCTGTCATTGACTACGTCAACCGCCGTCGACCACCGCCAACCACCTCCAACCACCGCCAACCACCATCGTCAATCAGTACCAACCACACACCGTCAATTGACAATGTTATAACCTGAAAAATCTAGTAATCATTTCTCTTTTGTGGGACAAGAGCTCATCACTACGGTCCATGTGTCAACAACGACCTACGTGATCATTAGTTCATGCAGCTTCTGACTCCGGCTCTCAAAGCCTACGAACATCATTAATATTTGCCCCAACGGCCTACGCGGTTCACAGCTTATTACGTGGTTAAGCGTAGTGATGAACTAATGATTGTCTAAGATTGTTGAGATAGATGCTTCCAACTATAATCTATGGTGACACCAAAAGATAAATTAGTTCTTCCAACGAAGAAGATCAAATTTGTTTTACTTTTAACAAGTGGAATCCCACTCAAACCAAATATTCCACCATAAAAAAATTCAATTGCTAAATATTATTCTAAATTATAAGATGACTTTTCAAACCAAAAATTCTTACTAATAATTTAACCCCCTTCTGATTTCTTTACAGTTGTTCAGTCTGCAAATCTGGATTTATCAAATCTCACTGAGAGGCGGATTTGTCGAATTTATGTTACTGTTGCTTGCGACCTTCACTCCTGTCAAGAGCTCGCTGGAAATCCAAATTTGATATCCTACATAGCCTAAATCCGATCGTTCTGCCAAACACTCCCTAAAAATTTCACGAACTTTGAGTTGAGATGGGACAACTATATTCAGAGTTTGCTTGAATACATCACATTTGATATGCGTATAAATAGCGAACAAAATTAAAAAAAAACATTTATTGTAAAAAAAAACCAACTATTTTTTCATAGACCACACAACCCCTTGAAGAGAAAATAAGAAGGGATTGAATTTATAAAATTCATAAAATTCATAAAATTTGTATTTAAAATCAGTATTTTTTCACTGATAAAATTTAAGTTAAATACTTCTTAAATCCATTACGATATAACAAAGCCTTACTACTCTAAATTCCCAAAACTTACGACGACGGGGATGCAAGGAGGTCTCAACGGGAGCTTGCAGGAGAAGACACAGATGGAAAAGCAACGTGTAAAAAGGAATATTTGTTTGTTAGATTATGGATTTAAGTTAATTCCACCCAATGCCAGGATTTAATGAATGTTTGGTTTAAGGTAAAAAGAGGGAGAAATGATTAAGATTATGCATAATAAAATTGTCATTTATGTTGTTTGGTAGGATTTAGGTTAAATCCTGTTGCCAAGTTGCCCCTTAAGATATCTGCTGGCAGTGAGAGTTTCTTATGCAAGATAACCATCTGCAACGATCTGTTTTGAGATCATAAAAGCGATGATCTAGTTAAGACTGTTGTTCTTGCAGAACAATCCATAGTCACCATTGGAAGCAGCGAAGAAAGGTGAAAATTGGCTTCAATTCCCCTCCCTTTTATTTTTAATTACAAAGAGAACAGTTGCACTAAGACTCTTCATGAACACCGTACGTCCAAACGATCAGCCACCAGACACCACATTGTCATAAGCCTCATAAGCGGACAATGTGGCGGTCAGTGGTTGGCCGTCCGGACGGAATATTATTCAACACAGAATAGATGTGCATATCGTACTTTAGAAAGACCCATCTTTTAGGTAAATAGAACTTCCATCCTAGCTTCATGTGAATGTTCATTTGGCTCTGTTTTTTTTAGGGTTGTATGACAACATATTAGATATAGGTTAGTAAAATTTAGTAAATCTGTTAAGGGTTAAAACTCGTTCGTTTGACAAAATATTTGATAAAGTTAGTAAAATTTTGTCAAACTGTTTAGAACTTATATTGAGATTTAAAAATTTATTATGTTTATTAAAATTAAAAAAATATAATATATTATTTTTTTATTAAAATAAAAATTAATTATTAAATTTAATTACATTCAATTTAAAATTTTTTTATACTAATTAATATCAAGTGATTTAGTAAAATAAATAATAATTTATATTAATTATGAATTAGTTATATTACTTAAGAATTACTTAAAATTTCATTAAATAATATAAATTTAATTTATAAAAATTATATCTAAATTTATTTAATTTTTCTTAATTTAATATTTACAAATTAATTTATAATTAATAGTCAATTAAATAATAAAATTAATTTAAATAAAAAGTAAAATAAAATAGCTAGCTTCTCCTCGTGATACAGTCGCGGAAGGCAACAACGGGATCGCGGCGTACCGAGACCAGAAATTCCCATCTTTCTTCTCCTTCCGCTCGGCTCCTACCTGAAGGTAACTCCACATCTTTCTTTTTGCGCGAAAGCCATCCCCGATTTACTAAATCTGCCGATTCACGGGATTTAGTAAATCCGGGATTCAAGGCCGAAATCCGGGTTGATCAAATCAGCGGCTTTATTTTGTCCAAAATGGCCGTCTGGCAAGATTTGGATTAAATCCTGCTCTAAATCCGTTACCAGATAAGCCCTTATGGATTAGGCTACTGCAATGCTTTTTCCAGGGATCATATTTTTTTAATGCACATTTCTGTGATCTACTTCATCTTTGACGCATTTTCTGCAATAAATGGCGTGTGCAAAGCCTGTGTCTATTAAAAATGATAAATGGATTGCACCATATATACTCCAGATTGTTTACTGCCTTTTTCTCGAATGCATTTTTTGAGCAATACATTTTTCTGAGAATAAGTGCCATGTTTAATTGCCTTACTTGTCACTCTTAGCTTAGCTTAGCATATTGCTTTCCATCTTCTATTGAAGCAATCTACCCCCTTTCCCCTCTACAACTTCGGCGAGTTTACTTAGAGTTTTGTTGTTTTTTTCTTTTGGTTGTCTTGTCTGCTGTACTCCTGTCTTCTTCCCTCTTTTGTGAGTTTTAGTTAGCTTCATGATCTCCGGTTTTTTTCCTCCTCTATGAAATCTTGTTACCTTTGTGCTTTTGTTTTCCTTCCTTTTGGGTTAAGCCAAATGTTGTATTTTTGGTAAAGCAGCATTCACTGGTAATGAGAATTGATTGTCAAAAAATTTTAATTGTTTCATAAGTTATGAAATATAACTTCAACTTAGAGTTCAATTAAAGTTTTTGAAAAAATACCAAATAGATTCATCAGCTTATCTTTTTCATAACTTACTACTTAAGTTCACTTAATATATCATTGCTTAGCTTACATAAAAAGGCAACCAAGCAGGCTATTAATTGGCCTTTTGAATAATAAATTTCTAATCAAAATTACTTGCTGGCATGCATCTCATTCTTTAGCTGTATTAGGAGCCGTTGTCCCCAAGACAGTTGCATCATCATTTATGCCCTATTCTCCATCATTGGATTTGTAATCCTCTGTAAAGCACTTGCACATACTTTCAATTTAATGTGATTTCTTATTTGCATCATTGTTCCTCCAACCTTGGCGTCCTTTGCTCGTCATCCCATGTTGAATTCTCTATAAAAATAATTCATAATTTTTGTTTGAAAGATTAGCATTGATTGACCTAGTCATAACCTTGATTCAGTTAAGCTTGTTTAGCAAGGATTCATATTATCAACAAAAGGCCAATTATAACTGGTCAACTAAAATCAATAATGTTAGCAACAAAAAGGATACTCACTGTAGAGGTAATTCTATACACTCATGTAGCCTGCACATGTTTGACTCTTCCTTTAATAACATTGCTTTAGGTATGGCACGATTTTGTCTGCTCAGATTTGTAATCTCTATTCCATTGTATCCAGCTGATGCTTGAGATTTTATGTGTCACCATGCCAACCAATTTGAGAAGCTGCAAGAAAATGAAGTTTTGTTTTACTGACAATTGCAAGGTAGTCTCTATATGTTTGCATTATGAATCACATGATCACTACATAGTTTATGTGTAAAATTGTAGTTTGTGTGTAAAATTGTGTTTGTTCAATGATGCTCCTTAAAATTGAAGATTTTCTATTCAACAGGGCCTACATGGTAGTCAAGATGATATAATGTCAAGATTATATAATAATGTGATTATTGAAAGTAGGAGTAATTCTTTGAGTGTAATGACAAGAGACTCCCATCAGGATACGAGTTAATGCGAGTGATATGCTAGGGTTAATATGATGGAGATCAATTGAGAGGGCAATAAAAGCTGCATGAAAGCTTGTTGCTGGGAGTGAGATGAACTAGATTTTAGAGAGAGGGGGGTGAGATTTAAAAATGGGGTATTAGTGCTTTTTTGTAATTTTGACCTTACCTAGGAGGGTTGTTGTAGAAGGACAAGAGATGAAATGAGAAGAGCTTTACTTTTAGAGGTATGTAGCTGCATGTGTTTGTAAATTGGTGAGTTGTAGGGCCATAAATTATATTTCTAATAGCACCATTTGATTTTACGATAACTCCTATCAACTAGGGTGGTATGCATGAGTTCATGGGAATTTTTTTATTATTACTATTAGACTTTGATGAGTTAAGCTTCATCCTTCACTGAAATAAAATATTAAGGCTTAAGCAACAACTCTACAGCCCTCTTCCCCACTACAGCCCAACAACAACTCTTCCCCATTTCCTTCCCGACTAGAGCCTAACCCCTACCGCCCAACAACAACTTTCTCCCATTCCCTTCCCCACTACAACCCAACCACAGCTCTCACCCTCTCCCTCCCAGCCTTAACACCGCATCCTACTTTTCCCTCCTATTTTAAGGATCGCCAGCTCGGGGTCACAAAGAACTTATGTTGGATGAACAATAACCATAAATTGAAATATTATTAAAACTTGAAAACTTACTGAACACTTAAAGGAAGAGTAGACTCTCAGGTAATTCCCGGTGTGTCTGCTTCTTCATAAACCATACATATATATATAGGCAGAAACAAGGGAGGTTTTGCCGACACTTAGCATCGTTTGGTACACCCACCAAAACAGATGCCATCCATTTTACAGCTCAAAAGAAAATAAAACATACACAATAATGGGTCGAAAGCAAAGATGCCTTCAGCTTTACACCTAATACAGACGCACCGAAAGGAATCTTTCGGTTCATAGAAATGTTAGGTAAGTCACCAAAGCCCGCCATGTGCTCCACTAATTCAAACTGAATTAGTTAACCCCTTATTTGTTACGTCCGCTATGATGTCAACAAGATTAGCCAATTGCTTCTTCATACGGTAGATATACGGTGAGACATCTGACCACATATTGTCTTTGGTTGATATACATCTACAATATCTAGACTTATTTTCGTATATCCCTTGAAGGATTCATAATTCATTGAGGACCTTCATGACTTGATCCTCCTCCATTCTTCGTGCAGCTCCCCCGAGCTTTGTGTGAGCGTCGAGGTTGATTGGGTGGTTGAATGTTTCACATAGAAGCTCCCAGTGCAAGTCATTAGCTTCTTTTGGAGACATTGCTGGAAAATCTGGCCCAAGCGCATTAAAGAATTCCTTTTCATAAGTTTTTTTGCTGCTGTCTCAGGGCTCCATTCTTCAGTTTCTGCAAAAATAAAATTAGTCGCTTCTTCACCTGCACATTAAACATAAATTAGTCGGGACAAAGCGCCTGCAAGGACATTGTTCTTGCCATCCACGTGTTCAAAATTGATTGTGATCCCGAGTTCGCTGATGAAATCTGTGAAGGCGAGCCGTCTGACCCATTATGGCTTATTTTGTGCCATTTTATTGTAGAAAGAGATGATTGCTTGACAATCAGTGCGGAGAGTAATTTCCTGTTTATCAAGATAATGAATTTTTAAAGCACTAAGAGATTTCATACATGCGAAAATTTCTGCATCTATGGTAGAATTAATTGTAGGAAATTTGCCACTTGCATACGCACAAATCCGCTCAGTATTCCTTGAGTTATTTTTCATTTTCTTCCACTTACATATTCCACCTCAGCCTTCCATGCAGCCATCTGTTTCTAAAACAATGTAAGCATTAGTAGGTGGAATCTCAAGATCAGGAAGATTTTGTACCAGATTCTTTATTTGTCTGATTAATGCCGAGTCATGATCTTTCATTTTTTTATCTCCATGTGGAGATGTTTTCTGATACAGAGGACCTAGTAATGTTCCTAAATTTCGGATATAGGATCTTGCATAATTAAGAATTCCCAATCAAGATCTCATACCTTGTTTTTCTTTTAACTTTTTATCAGGGAAATCCGCCATTTTTCTGATAATATGAGGTTGGAGTTTTATTCTTCTGTTTCCAATTACCGCCACAAGAAATTCAATTTCATTGACTGCGGTCTTCATTTATGTTGGTGAGTGCACCAGTCCATTTTTTCTCAAAATTTCAAGGAACTTTTCTAAATGAGTTTTGTGTTCTTGCTCTGAATTACTAAAAATTAATATATCATCGATATAAACTATAAGAAATTCTGAGCAATTATTAAAACACAAATCCATTTTCCTCTGAAAACTGCAGACGCGTTTTTTAATCCGAATGACATAACCAGTCATTCAAACAAACGTGTTGGTACAATAAATGTCATCCATTCAATGGACTCCTGGTGCATTGCTACCTGGTGAAACCCGCTTTTCTAATCGAACTTTGAATATACTTTGCTATTTCCTATCCTTTTCAACAAAGTATTAATTCCGAGTAAGGAGTATTGGTCTTTATAAGTATTATCGTTTAAAGACATATAATTGAAAACAAGTCTTTCCTTACTTCTTATTTCCTTACCATTTTTTGGGTCAATAGTTGTACCCGAATTCACAATCATGGCCATCATGTGATGACGGCTTTTGCTAGGCCGAATGACTTTTAGTTCTAGCAGCCCATCAATATGGTGCTTAAACTGATCTTGCATCATTGGTGTCACGTGTTTCATTGGTTTATCATGTATGATTAGATCAGGATTTATTATATCAAGCTTACAAGCAATCAAATTCTTACTCCAATGTTTGAGTGGATTTTCGCCAATGTATCCATTACTTTGTAATAGTTGGAAAATAGACCTGAATTTTCTCATGAATGGAGTTTCTGCATTTAATACATTAGAATAGAAGAATTCAAGTTGCATTTTTTGTATAGAAATCATAATCTATGTCTAACTCAGGGATTTGTTTTGCTGCTATTTCCAGTTCTGTAGTCATTTTGACATGAGTTATTTCTTTGAAAAATTTTATAGTATTTCCCTCACTTCGTATATCTCCTTGCATATTTGTTATAAAATTACAGCCAAGGAGCATCTGGATGCCATCTTTAACATCCATTTCTAGACAATAGATTAGCGGAATTTGAAAAGAATGCTCATTTATCAGCATATTACCTGCTTTCATCTTTTTGCAGGAATTGGTTATTGAATTGACTCCGCTGAATGTGACCTGGTAATTGAGATCTTCAAGTACCGATTTAGGAACATCTCCAATTTTAACGCAGCATGAAGTGGCTCCAGTATCTACAATTGCTCGAAGTTTGAATCTTTCTGTTCCTGGTACATCAAAGATGATTATTAGATTGAACAATCTATTTATTTCCCTTCTTGGGCTTTTCTGCAATTGTTCTTTCAAGGATTCATTCAACATTTTGGCGCTTGAATTTGATTCTTCAAATTCCCCAATTTCTTCAATGCGTTCTCTTTCTTTGTTTTCTTCAAATGTCACCTGTTTGCCTTTATCATGAAAGGAGAGCTCCTGCATATCTCCAGTTAATTGTTTTTCCAACGATTTCTGCAATTGCTCTCTTAACCTGCAATTTTCTTCTATCAAACGGTCAGTATATTTGACCAATTCTTGGATCAGCATATCCTTTGATTGAAATTGCTGCAGGTTCAGTTCTTTTTATACATTAATTGATAAATAAAATCTTGCACATAACGGACAGACCGATATTTTGCAAATTTTACAATGAATGCTCATATTCATATTTGTAATTATAAAGCAATAAGCACAATGAAAAAAAGGCCCCTGATTTGGCCTATTATGTTCCCACTGATGAGAACATTTTTTCCGTTCGTCGTTCAGTTTGATGGCACAACTCCATCCAAGATTTTCTTTAAGCATGAAGCTGAACTCCTCTGCTGGTCCATCTTCTAATGCTTGTTTGATGTGTATTAGTGTATTTGCTCCTTCTCCTTCTGAGATTGAACAAATGATATCAGACTCTTCTTCATTATGATCTACGGCCAATACATCGTAATCTTCTGACAACTCCAAGTTGTTGAGTATTGTTGCTCTCGTCATGTTGCCTCTTTTGTTTTTACACTCCCGAGCGAAGTGCCCTTCCTCGCAGCATATGTAACATCGACATTTTGTTGAGCGAGACTTGTTCTTATTTTTTATGACACGAATATGAGTGTCATGAGGTTTTCCCTTATAGTTCTTTGACTTTCTTAGGCCGTACTTCTTGTGCTGGTTGTAATAACCAGGTACCAAAATTTTATTACAAATAGATAAATCTTTTATACCTCTTTGTACCGCAGCCTTTTTGCATAAATCTGCAAGGTATTGGTAAGTAAATTTGATTCTTGGTAGAACTCCGATTGTGTTGCCAGGATACTTATCTTTGAATTCTTCTTCTACTTCATTTCCAAGGATTGGTGACATCTTCCTAAAGAATTTATCGGAGAGTTCTCGGTACATTCTTTCTGATTTGGCTGCCAAGACCTTGTAGTCATTCATATATTTAAACATATTTCTAATTTCAGAACATACCAGTCTCTCGAGATCTAGGTAAGCACGATTCTGTTCTTCAGTCGAGCCTTGATAAGGGTCTTCTAATAAGATAATTCTTCTGATTTGAGATAAAACATTTTGTGGGTCGTCCACTATATTGACCAAGGCCTCGTATTCATCCTCATAAGCCATACGTCATTGGATCCATTTTTTCTTTTCCACTTCTCCAAGCAGATTTTCAATGAACTGGACTTTAGCTTTAGTGTCTGCAAATTGTTTATCATTGACCAAATTTAATGTAATCGACTCCCATCTAGAAATTACGTCGTCATACAAAGGAAGTCATCAGGGAGTACAAGAAGAACTCCCTGTGTATTGTGGGCAGATGACAAGGTCCACATGTTTTATTGGAAGGATTTCTTAAAATCACTGGACCTTAGATTTTGGAAAGAGTTTTAGGAAGAAGAGGGTCCATTTTGTGAACCTATGATTGCGGGAGGATACATTACTGGGCCCATAATGGGCTCATTAGGAGGAAGGAGGAAGTGTATTAGTGTTAAAGCAAACATAAAACAACAACTTAAGGCGACGACGAAGCAGCTGGACAACAGGAGTGCCATCTGGTATCATATAGGTTGCTAAATGAGTTTTGTGAGTTTTGTGTTCATGTTTTGAATTACTAAAAAATAATATATCAACTGATGACAATTGCATCTCACACCAGGAAGTAAACAAGAATAGGTTCTGTTTTAAACAAGAATGAGTTTTGATTTTGTTTAAACAAGAATAGGTTATGTTTGAACAAGAATAGGTTCTGCATTAAAGAATTCATTTCCATAAGTCTTCTTGCTGCTGTCTCCAAGCTCCATTCTTCAGTTTCTGCAAAAATAAAATTAGTCGCTTCTTCTTCACCTGCACATAAAACATAAGTTAGTCGAGACAGAGCGTCTGCAAGGGCATTGTTCTTGTCATCCACGTGTTCAAAATTGATTGTGATCCCGAGTCCGTTGATGAAATCTGTGAAGGCGAGCCATCTGACCCTTGATGGCTTATTTTGTGTCATTTTATCGTAGAAAAAGATGATTGCTTGGCAATCGGTGCGGAAAGTAATTTCCTGTTTATCAAGATAATGAATTTTTAAAGCACTAAGGGATTCCATACATGCAAAAATTTTTGCATCTATGATAGATTTAATCGTAGGAAATTTGCCACTTGCATACTGATGATAATTATGTTAGAAATGGAAATGAAGCATTAAATGCTATTATAGATCATTCTTCACGTGCTTCAATTCCATTAATACCACCAACAGTTGGAAGTTCGCTTGCTTTAAAGAATAAATTGAAGAAAATTGAAAGGGAACTTCAGAGTATTATGAATGCATGGGAGATCTTAAGTACCTTTTTGATAACCTAAATTGGAGAATGAAAGAAAGTTTTGATCATACTGGAACTTTTGAAGCAGGATTAGTTCAGATGTTTAAAGAAAATGGGTGGATTGAAGAAAATTTGACAGATCAATTCCCGTGCCGTTCCTTCTACAACTTATATGTTCATTACCAATCCATGGGAGATATTAGAGGAGGAGAAAACACTGAAGAAGAGACAGAATAATTGAAGACTTTGGATTCTATATTTGTTTAAGAATATTTATGTATTTAATGTAATTGTGTGGATTGGATTTGGTTTGGTTTGTTTTGCTTTAGAATTCTGAACTTTTATTATGTGTATAGTTTTGTGTCAGCGTTCAGTGTTGTGGCTTGATTTCGACGCTGATTTATACTTAGATTGCTTAATAGGTGTGAATGTTTAATTCGAAAAATGTGTTTGTAAAAGTGTATTTTCATATATAAAAGTTAGTTTGTTGTTGTTTGTGAAAATAATCGTTTGTGAAATGTTTATTTGTGAATTATTATTAAATAAAAAATTTGTGTTTAAAAATACTAAAAAAAACTTTGGACTAAAGGCTGGAATGGGCGCCGACGGCGCCTTCGACCCGAGAGCAGCCCTTAACCCTTTAAATTCGCGATCTTCTAATGCTTGTTTGATGTGTATTAGTGTATTTGCTCCTTCTGAGATTGAGCAAATGGCATCAGACTCTTCTTCATTAAAATTTACGCACAGTACATCGTAATCTTCAGGAAACTCCAAGTTGTTGAGTATTGCTGCTCTCGTCATGTTGCCTTTTTTGTTTTTACACCCCCGAGCGAAGTGCCCTTCCTCGCCGCATATGTAACATCGACATTTTGTTGAGCGAGGCTTGTTCTTATTTTTGATGACACGAATATGAGTGTCATGAGACTTTCCCTTATAGTTCTTTGACTTTCTTAGGCCGTACTTCTTGTGCTGGTTGTAATAACAAAGCACCGAAATTTTCCTACAAATAGATAAATCTTTTATACCTCTTTGTATCGCAACCTTTTTGCATAAATCTGCAAGGTATTGATAAGTAAATCTGATTATTGGTAGAACTCTGATTGTGTTGCCATAATACTTAGCTGGAAAGTACTCTCCGCACTGATTAGCTAGCAATCATTTCTTTCTACAATAAAATGACACAAAATAAGCCATCAAGGGTCAGATGGCTTGCCTTCACAGATTTCATCAACGGACTCGGGATCACAATCAATTTTGAACACGTGGATGAGAAGAACAATGCCCTTGCAGACGCTCTGTCTCGACTAACTTATGTTTTATGTGCAAGTGAAGAAGAAGCGACTAATTTTATTTTTGCAGAAACTGAAGAATGGAGCTTGGAGACAGCAACAAGAAGACTTATGGAAAGGAATTCTTTAATGCACAACCTATTCTTGTTTAAAACAAAACCTATTCTTGTTTAAACAAAATCAAAACTCATTCTTGTTTAAAACATAACCTATTCTTGTTTAATTCTTGGTGTGAGATGCAATTATCATCAGTTGATATATTAATTTTTAGTAATTCAGAGCATGAACACAAAACTCACAAAACTCATTTAGCAACCTATATGATACCAGATGACACTCCTGCTGTCCAGTTGCTTCGTCGTCGCCTTAAGTTGTTGTTTTATGTTTGCTATCATGTAGTTCAGGTTTTGAATAGTCGTCGTTGTAACCTATTGGGATTTCGACAATAATATTTGTATTTCCAATTTTATTGTGGTTCTGGGCTTTTCTCCTCCGGTATCAGAATGTCTTGCCATGAGGTTGCTAGAAAGAAAAAGAGCTATGAATATTGCCAGAGAGTATACTAGATGCAATTGTCACCTGAGCCCTAGGAGAGAAATGAGAAGAAGAGCAAATGAGGGTTTGGCGGGATCGTGTTAGGTTTAAAGAAGCTATTAGCGGATTACTGGCTGAAATTTCCACTGCTAAAACATTGTGGCATAACTTTCTACTGGTAATTCACCGCTATTAAGTGAATTATCATGCGATAAAAACTTCAGCCGGTTTTTCCATTGCTAAATTAATGTGGTTGAATTTTCCGCCGCAACGTCTAAACAATGTGCACAATGCTCAGCAATAGACCATGCTGTCTCACCCACCTAGGGATTGGCACATCTTTAGAGGGCACAAAATGACGGCTTCCAAGGCTTCCAAGCCATGATAAACTATCTTTAGCATGTCCACCATTGCCTCATAATTGTAATTGCCACTGGCCTACCAGCTGAAGAACCTTGAAAATATCCTAAAGATGAATTGCTAGATAAGTTTATGCCCATGTTGTTGTTGTGGAATGGAAGGAATATGTTGCACGAGGCCTCAAGCGTTCCCAGTTTTCTTCACCCCAAATTCATTCATTTTTGCTTATTACCTCCACCTACTCCACCTACCAATACAGAATAAATTAAAAAAAGAAAGGAAAAGTGGTACCCGGCTGGCCAAAGTTGTGCGAGCCAGTCCATATCACAGCAAGCATGGAGAAAATCATCCAACATTTTAACAGATCTGGGCTTGTTTAACCAAACCTACAGTGATTTCCCACTACTTTCCTTTATCTGGGATCCATAATTTCTTGGTTTACTCCTTTTCTCTTGTTTTTGCTTCCTTTTTCTCATTTGCAATCTTTAAAAATATTCATGTTATGGATTGTTTCTTATCCGCATTTTTTTATATGAAACCTTCATAATTCATACTATGTGGCTGAACTCCTCAACCAGTTTGAAGATCATTTCCCTGCAGTTGTAACTCTAATTGAAGGGAGGCTTTGAATAAGCTTTACATTTTGATCTTATATGTACTAAATAACCTAGTTTTACAAAATACCAGAATCTGTCGAATGCATATTCTATTACTGGGTGCTAGTATTATCTCTGAGAGTTGCTTAAAGAGAGATGCCAAAATTATTATGACATTACAAAGTAGCTGAATGCTTGCTTTCTAATTTCTCATTTAGTTTCTGTCCTGATCTTGTTCTAGTAGTTAGAGGTTTATTTTGGGGTCTAGCAGTAGCCTTAGTTAATTCAAACATATGAACAAACTATTGGTCAAAATCCTGATCAGGGCTCCAAAATCCATGTTTTAATATTTATTCTTTTATTTTTCCCTTGAACACGGCAGAAAAAAGAATCCGGTGCTTTTGTACTGATTGAAAATTTTTTTTTCTAATGTAACAGTAAGGGTTGAACATTATTATCCAAATATGGATGGAGGGCTAGCTAACTTTAAGAAATGGAATATAATCTATCCTATCTACATAAATTCAAAGAAGACTATAGCTGAGGGGCGGAGGATCGGTGCTTCCAAGGCATGCGAAAATCCCACATGCCTTGAGATTGGAGACTGTTGTAAACACCTCAAAATTCCTTGTGCTATTGAGGTACATCAACATCCGCCTTATATTTCTATATCCTCGAACTTGTGTATTATTTTTTGTTTAAAATTGATTGCTTTCATTTCCAGCTTGATAAGGCGTACCCTCGAGATTTCATGCAGCGGGGTCGAGTTAGGGTTTTGCTGAAAAGGGAAGATGGATCTCTTTACAACCCTGCAATTCATTCAAGTAAGAATTAGTAACCCTAATTTTATTATGTTATTGCAGAAAATGATCTTATGTTTGCTAATGTAATCTTTCTTTTGAGATGCATGTTTGAACTCCAGTAGCTCTAACAATTAAGAATTAGGAACCCTTGTCATTGTTAAGTTTGTTCATCGAAAATTTATGTTGAACTTGATTCAGGATGAGAGTTAGGATTTTTTAATGCGGCTAATATGATGTGTAGTATGTTTTCATGCAAAAGAAAGTTGAGGATTAATAGTTCACAAGCTTTTCAATTATTTCAGTAATTCACTTTCTTTAAAGGAAAACATGCAATCGCCATTTAGTCCAATTTGTAATGGAATTATTGTAGAAAAACCTAGAATTTAGTTGAAATGTTGAAATGAATAAAATCAACGAACAAAAAAATTTAAATTCACTAAATTAAGTTGTTTACATATCACTTTTTGACCAAAATAAGGGCATTAAATTTGTCAATAATGAAATATACAGGAAAATAAATGAGTGAAGAAGCATCAAAGTAGAGAAAATTCTATCTCATATTTGTTGTAAGTACAGGACTGCTTGCAAATTTTGGTAGTCACACTCATACTGCTTTTGAAGTAACACTCAAAATTGAGAATCGAAAGTGAAATTTTATTTAAGAACAAAAGTTGTGAATTAAAAGCCTCTTATCTTTATTTTTAGACTGCTCATATCTTAGGTTATGAGATAATGGTAGCACAACATCAATTTCTATTCAATTTAAATTAATCCCAATTTTAACTTCTTACTCGAAATAGTTGAACTCCTGCTGGACAGTTTCACATATCTACATGCTTATGAATAAGATAAGACATAGTAGGAGGATAAGAGCAGACTGGAAAAAACACATTTTCCACTGCAATTATGGTTTTTCTTTTTCAGCAACACTTCTTTTTTGATTTAATAGTTTTGAATTATTCCAAATTCCAATGGCTAATGTCAAAAATCAATGCATCATTATCAAAATCAATAGTGCTAAATTAGCCAATAACAAACTGTAATGAAACAAATGAGAGATGAATATATCAAAGTAGAGAATTTAGGCCTCACATTGATGTAAGGAGATGAGTTCTCATAAAATTAGTTAGTTTTATAGTATCCAACTCAAAGAAATCATGTATCTCTAACTTGCACTCACAAGCCTGAATACTGGAAGAGAAATTTAATTGAAGACAATTTATAAATTACTTGTCTTAAAGATTGTTTATATTCTTCTCATAGCCTAGATTAATAGATATACTTTAGCAGAGGATTTAGTCTCAATTTTGTTTAAATTAATCTGCTTTAATTTTTTATTCCGAAAACAACTAAGCTCTATCAAATTCAAATTCGAGTTCCAAAGCAATCCACCACTCCTAATCACTACAGTCCCGCATATTTGTCAGAACTACATCCATATTGCATTATACGTGCAAACTCCAGATAAGCCAAACAATAGGATAAGGTCCAGCACGAAAAACGCAAATCCTGCAGCCTTGAAACTGAACCTCCTAATTAAAAGACTAGTTCTAATTCTGCTGCAACCGGCAACCCCTTTGTTTTTTTTATTCTTTTTGCAACAACGTTTCATTAGTATTGTTATTATTATTATCATAATCATTATTACTATTGAATAATTCCAAATTTCACCACATCGGAACCATTGAATTTTGAATTTTTAATTTAAATGAAAGTTTATTCACGTAATTTCACCAGTTCTTACATTTAAAAACGCCTGAAAGCTAAAAATTGGTACAAGGCTAATGCTGCGTGATTATGATTTTGATAAAGAAATGTTTCATTAGGATAAATGACTGAATGCCTGGTTTTCATTTAAGAATATTGGACTTTATACAGCTAATGGCTTACACTAGTTCTCTGCATGGTGGAACAAATCTGATGCTGGATGATTATGATTCTGATGAAGAAATATTTCATAATGATTTTAATTTGAATAGTTTGCACATGCTTAAGCTTATACCGTAAAGAAGAAATGGGAGCTTGAGAACGTCAGTAAAAAAAAAAGATTGTTTTTGCAGCACTAAATGATTATCAAGTTTGCTCTGTAAAATTATGAGGATGAAATACGGAAGAAAATGCAACCAATGCTAATGGATCATGATTAGTTACAGCAGATGTAGTAATGGTAATTTTATTAGCTGGATGGTTTACTATTAAGGATTGCAAACTTTTGGAGAGAAGTGTCAAAGTCCTCCGAGTCTTTGTAGTAGTTCCAAAGTCTATAAAAGAGTCAATTTAATCCCAAACTATTTTAATACGAGTCGAAATAGTCTCTGATAAGGATTATCTTAGCCCCTTTTTACAAAGTCAGGGGCCTAGTTTGACTCTTCACTTGAATTTTTTGTATTTCATCTCAAAATTATTTAAACTTCAGACAGCACCTTTGCTTTGCTCGGTTTTACAAAGAAAATTATGGCCGAGTCACACAGGTTAGAGAAAACTGTTTAGAACATAATTAAACTTTGAAAAATGCCGTTTTTTTAGTTAGTTATTAGTCTATAGCCTGCAGAATGATGTAAGAAATAATAAATTTGGTACAATGATTTGTCAGGGAATGTTTGTATCATTGCCTTTTTTTTTGGAAGCCCACCGACACTTGTTCGAATTTTAGAAGATTCATATTGTTGCACAATGAACGATCAATAATTTCATAATATATGATGGGAGGCATTTATATGCTTTTTGATTCAATATTCAGAAACTTGGAGCTATGTATTCAGTTCAAGTTTACTCCTAGATTTTAGACTTACAATTAGTAATATGCAAATGAAGAAGGCCAGTGGATACGAATTTAACTTGAATTTTAATTGAACTTAAATTTAGATGTCAATGCTGGCTGTTACTCTTTCCACGTACCATCTGCATGACCAGAAGGCTCAAATTTGATGCAAGAAAAATAAGAAAGATTTACATACATACCACACAATTGCTATGTATTTACATATCTAACACATAAATTTCCAATTTTTATATGTCATCTTACCTATGAATGAAATATGCATTTCGCTTTTTAATAGTTAAAATAGTGGTATTTTTAATGTGATGTGAAAGATTTGAGTAATATAACTTCAAAAAATAAATTTTAGGTGTTATATATGTAAATACCTAGGAATTAGGTGGTCTGTATGTAATTGCTCCAAAATAAAATTGAAAACAAGGTGAAGATAAAAGAAGCTTTTCGGCGCCTCTCTGCAGTTTCTAGCATGGTGCAGTTGAAAGTTCAAACCTTTGTATGTCAGTTAACATTATTTTTATTTTTTATTTTTTTTTTATTTATGTATTTATTTTGTATGTCTGTTACATTGATCGTGCTGATTGTCTTTTTTAGCTTTTAGTTGTATTGGCAGCAGTCCACCGTTGAAGTCCTCTTCTTCCTCATTCTGAACTCTTAATTTTCAGTCTACAAATGAATAGAGGGTGCTTGAGTCTGTGGTAGATTGTTTCCAATTGGATGCAGTATTTTGTGATTTTCTCTTGTATCAGATAATACATATATGTATAAGATTTAATAAGTATGCATTTAAATATGAATGTTTAGTTGTTAGATATGTACATACATAAGAAATAAGCGGTATGTACGTAAATGCCCCTTGATTTTCCCCACTAATGTGTATAATTTTTCGTTTACAGAGAAGCACCTGATGCTTCAGGTGGCTGAGTTGGTGCCTCGGCATCCTGGGAGAGTGAAGAAGCAGGAGCCTGCAAGTACAGCCACTGCTGCTGGGACTTCAAAATCAGGAAAGGGTGGGAAGAAGAAGAAGAAATGAACAATGTATGTTTAAAGTCAAGCCTAGTTTTAGAAAGCACTAAAATCGTGTTTTTATGGGGTATCAAATATTATAGTCTGCAAATTGCTTAATTGCATGCTCTAAATTCTTTGAGACACTCAATCATAGCAAACAACTTGATTTTTTTTTTGCCACTTTGGCCTAAATGTTCTGTAGAGCTTGTTCATGCACCATGCTCCCTGCCATGTCATACTTATATGATGTGGACTGAAAAGCCTCGCATCTCTAATATATATTTTTTTGTTTTTTTTTTATTGTTTTCAATGGACAATGTACTTATTCTTATTGATTTTAATTTGGTTATTGTTTGTTGAAAATTTAGGAGGATATCAACCTCTTCATTCTAAATTGATGGAATTTAATTACTGTACTTACTGTTCTTTGGCTCATATCACAAGTATTTAATCATCTACATCTCTAAAAAGAGCAAACCAATAGAATCCTGATTGTAAAATCTTTTCAGGTATAATCCCAAAATACCCACCAAATTCTGAATCGTGACTTTTTTTAATCACATATTGGATCTGTTGTAAGGGTCAAAATCTCCTAATAACTTATTCCTTAGACTTCTTATAAAAATATGACCGTCCCAAAAATAAAATCTGGCATCATGCTTGAATCTCTTTTTGGTGATGAGACAAATTAAAGGATAAAATGTCACTAACGATAAAGTTCACAATGTCTGCATGCCTTGACATATTCACGTGATATATAACATGGAGCTACTCATCAGGGAAGTTTTCATGAATTTCACATAAAAGCTAGAAAACCCCCGTAGTCAAGCTTAGATAAGCGGCCAATTATTTGATTTTTGGTTCTCTTTCTATCCACAACTTTGATATCAAACTCTTGTAAAATAATGACCCATCAAATCAATCAATGTTTTGCATCCTTTTTGGATATAAGATATTGAATTACGGAATGGTCAGTGAAAACAGTGCATTTCAGTACCAATCAATATGACCTAAATTAATCAAGTAAATATACTATAACCAAAAGCTCTTTTTCAGTTGTGGCATAATTAATTTCAAAAGCGAAAGGTTAATAATGTTAATGGTGGTTCGCAGTTTCAGGCACATGAGGCTGATTGTAAGTGACAGTGGTCAGAAGTAGCGACATCGGTCGGAGGCGGTGACAACCAGAGTTGACCAGATTTGCAATCTGGGATGCTGGGATGTAAATACAAATACCTAAAATAAATATCGCAGCATACACAAAATATGACGGGCTCATACCTTTGTAGGAGGTGTCTTCCATGTGAAAAATCAGAAGAAGTGTCGGCTATGCAACGCAAAATTGAGAGAGGGAGAGCCTTTGAGTTGCTTACTGACATGGTGACGCTACCAGACCAACGCATTGGCATTGGCAAGATTGAGAAGTGGAAGGCCTAGGCAAGGTGAGGCGACATGGAGGAGCAGCGAGGTGAAGGGGGTCAGCCTCTGCTTTGCGAGCAAGGGATATAGGGCCTTCGGGCCGGTTGTTTCAGGCTGAGAGGAGGCGGTGGTTGTCGGAGAGAAGGCCGAGCAAGCCGCGTGCAACGTCGGCAAGCTAGGGCTTCGGGCCGAGCACAACAGGAAAGCGGCTTCAACTACAAACCAAGGAGCGTCCGCTGCTATGACCCGCCGACATGAGGAGGAATGGAGGATGCCGACGTGAATTGGGAAGGCGGCAATGGTCTCAGCTCGAGATGGAGCAGGGTCTGCTGCAAGGTTGTGCGTGCGAGAGGAGGATGCTAGGAGGAAAGACGCTGGGACGTCGGTGACTGCGGCTGCTGTTTGCTGGCAGGATTGCTGGCATGGGCAAGCGGCGCATGGGAGCCGGCCTTTCGGGAGATAGAAACTAAACAATATATATTCAACCTCCAAACAATATATATATACACACACAAATATATACACCTATATATATATATATATATATATATATATTTAATTATTTCAAGTTAAAAAGAGCCAAACACGCAAACAAATATTTGTTTTCGACTCGTTTATATATTGAGTGCAAAAGAAAAAGTTTGTGTTTCGCTCATTTGCTTAGTGAACGAATCAAATACGAGCTACGTAATGAGTTGAACACAAGCTGTTTGCGAACAACGACCCATTTTGACAGCCCTATCGCCACTACACCACTGTCCGCGGGGACTTTAGGTTACGTCGGGTTTGATGCTCCGAACAAACCTTGTACTCCAATCCAGTTTTTTGCTCCTTTTCGAGCTCCTTCTCCTATCATTTCAGTTTCGCACAAGCCTTCTATCCCAAGCACCAATCCACCACCGCCTCTTCTGACGAGTCAAGACCATATGCTCCTGCCCCTTCAGGAGTGGACACCTCCGATTAGTTAGAAATTATATCAGAGGGAGATCCGTGTGTAACCCAAATTTATATTGAATTTCTTTTTACTACATTGTATAACTAATATATCTATTTCAGGTTGTACCCCTCCATGCAGCTTATCGCATGTATCATGAAGATCATAAGGAGTAGAAATGATGTTATTATTATGACATTGACCCTTTGTGAGCTTGAGTCTGCCTTATATTTGTCCGCCTCAACAAATAGTTGCAAAGGGCGGATGAATTTTGCTTTAGGGATATATTTTTCATTTGATTATTTTATTGACTTTGTGGTTTGAAATTTTGGCTTTTATAAATATATCACCTTCAATTGAGATGTGCAATTAGTATACTCATCATCGGGGAGTTGTTCTTCTCAAACCTTGTCGACTCTGTCCCACTTACAGATGATGAGGTTCATAGTATATATATAATTTCAACATACTTAAATAACTTTAAAACTTAATTTTGGAAATAAACCCCTCTGGTTGAAATCTTCAGTCAACTCGATCATCATCGGGAAGGTTAATCTCTTAAACATTGTCGACTCTGTCCTGCTTATAGATGATTAGGTTCATAGTATATATATTATTTGAGTTTTAGAAATATAATTTGAGATTTAATTTAAAAATAGACCCCTCCAGTTGAGATTCACTTCCATCATCGGAGGAAATGATTTTATCTTTGAACCATGTCAAGTTTGTCCTGCTTATAAAGGATGGAGTTCAATAATTGAAATAATTGAATTCAAATTAGATTTTAAGACAATTTTAAAATAGACAATTCCAGTTGAAATATTATATCAATTCGGCCATCATCGGGGATTGATTGCTTAAACATCATTAAGATCATTAGTCCTGTCAACTCCAGTTCTTAAAAGGAGGAGGATCAGACTAGCTCAGTGGGGGCACAACCTTGTCGGCTCTAGGATCAGATTGGTTTAAGTGTGACATTTACGACCTTGCCCTATAGGCAAGGCGGCCCATTGCCTGCACAACATTCTTAGACACATAAGCTTGAATATTTAGTGGCATGTAGCACAAGCGAGAATTTCATTTGTTGATCTCGATTGATTTTAAATAGCTTCGCATAATTTCGACACATTTGGTGTTGAGCATAAACACACATTTTTACCCGTGCAACTTTCTCGAACCTTGAGATTGAGCATTTATCACGTTGGTCGGAGCTCATGTGGGTATTTCATATTTGTTGAGTTAAGATTTATAAATAGTTTTACACGTATTTAAGGGCTTATTCGCTTGAGCTTAAGCATTTGTTTAACCTGTGTAGCATTCTCGAATCTTATGATCGAATGTTCAACACGCTAGTCGGAGCGCATGTGGGAGTTTCAATTTATTGATTTTGACTGACTTTTAGGAGGTTTTATTCTAATTTGCACGAGAATATTATAATTGAGATTTGTGCAAATATTTTCATGTAAGTTTTTAGTTTTACTTTTAGTCCGCTTTTGCAATTGGGTGTTACGGATCCGGTGGCAATAAAAACTGAAGATCTTGATTGTGCATTTTAAACATTATATTTTACTCGAGATTTCAAATAGACAACCACATAATTTTAATGCATTGTTATGGTGACTTTAATTAGTCGATTGAAAACCCCACTTATATTTTATAGGTGCACCAGTGTTTTTATCACGGGTTTTATTCGAGCCCGTTGACTAGTCGTTGAGTCCCCTACAAGTCTTGTAGACTCCATTTATATTCATTTTGTTCTTTGAAGATGATTTATATAATAATTTCAATTCTTAATTTCTAATTTAAGATCCATCATTTTGATTGCTTTTTAGCCCAAATGATTTCAATTAGATTATTCTTTGTAACCGGTGTTTTGATGAAAATTCGGCCATCCTCATTTAGGGGGCTGCATCGAGAAGCTGGGGTATTCCTACCACGCTTAAAAAAGCGGACATAGTCAGTGTCTTTTGACACCCACCATGCTTAAAAAGGTGTCCTTTGGGCTCCATGCACCTACAAAAAGATAATAACGCGGGTGCTCACACACACAGTGTCATTAACGCCGTATTATTACAACGCGGACGGGTCTTTAACACACCAAGCTTAAATGAATATGCAGGCTTGAGGTACCTGCAAAAGAAAAATCATAATGCAAGGAAGCTTTTCTCTTTAGGTTGAGGCAACACAACGAGTACTCATGTCTTTGCCAAACGACAACCATCCGCTTTTATCTCCACCAAAACTTGTTGCTTTCTTCTACGTATTTTGTCGAAGTATGTGATAATCCTGCACCAAACATTCAGAAGACTAATTGCATCAGATCTAGTCCTCATTACAACTGTCAATTCTTTGCTGAGCTTTTCAACAAAAGCATCCTTGCCAACCAATTTTTCTCCAGTTTGCTCTCCCTCCTTCAGTTCAAAATGAAGTGATTCAACTCTTCAAACCAACTCCTTAATCAACTGTACGGTCACATTGACTTGCTTTTGGACTCATGATTAAATCAAAATTACAGCTGATTTCTGCGAAAGAAGAATTTCCAACCTCCTGTATTAACCTTAACAGTCTTCATCTCATAGTACTTTGCTATTTCAAAGTCCTTGAAGGTTGAAAGCAATGTTGGTGGCAGGTTGCCTGAAAGAAAGGAAGAGGGGCTGCTGTGTGAAGAAAGGGGGAGAAGTTGCGGGCTCTCGGTCTGCTGGA